TTCTGTTTTCAGTCTACTCGCTTCGCCGTGTTTACCGGGGGCGAGCGAGAGCACGTGTGCGTGTGGTGGCCAAGGGTTATTTTCTGCCGTGACGTTTCTTTTTCCCACCCACCCAACCTTGCTTTTTGGGGTGTCAGTGGACATGGAAATAGGAGCAGCGGCGTTGTGTTCAGGGTGAGTGTCCGTCGGGGGGGACTCACTGTGTAGCCGCAGTCGGGGTTGCGTGTGCCTATGCTGGGCGCAGTTCCGAGGTGCTCGTCCCATTTATTTTGAGTGGGATTGGTGTACATCGCACTTCAGGTGGTATATGCAGGACGCATGTTGTTGGGTGTATCGGACCGTTGCATGGTTGGGGGAGTGCACTCCTGGCTGCTGTGTGTGGCTATGTTGGTGCTACGCGCTTCCCCGTTACGTGCGTGACGAGTCTGATTGATAAGTAGTGGATACATACGCATACATATAATATGGCTTATATGTGGGTGTCCTGGTGTCCGGGTACATGCGTATTTTTCTGCAGTGCGATGGAAAGGTCAGGAGAACAGAGAGTAGCGAGAGACGAGAAATGGTTTTTTTCTTTGGTGGCCCGGGTGTTTCGCCAAATGGCGATACTAGAATAATGTTGATGGGCCTTGTGGGGTTCTCTCGTGGTTTCAGTATGAACAAGCCGGTGTGGTACTATCAGCGGTTGTGGGGGGCAGACAGAGTTTATATGTCTCTGTCTGTTGGGTGGCTGATGTTTATACTGATCGTAAGGAGTAGACCGGGGGCGTGTGTGGTGTTGCCCTGCCTGGTCTCCGCTCTTTTCCCCTCCCCCTTGGCGAGCAAAGGGGGTACGCAAAATAATAATGACAAATTTCGAAAGCATCGAGAAAAGCGAAAGATTGTCTGACGAAGTAAGGGAAATCTGCGTTTTGTGAGAAGCGGCAGAAATAAACTTGGCCAATCAGAAAGCAGGAAGCGGACGAGCGTGTTGGTTTTCTGTTTTCAGTCTACTCGCTTCGCCGTGTTTACCGGGGGCGAGCGAGAGCACGTGTGCGTGTGGTGGCCAAGGGTTATTTTCTGCCGTGACGTTTCTTTTTCCCACCCACCCAACCTTGCTTTTTGGGGTGTCAGTGGACATGGAAATAGGAGCAGCGGCGTTGTGTTCAGGGTGAGTGTCCGTCGGGGGGGACTCACTGTGTAGCCGCAGTCGGGGTTGCGTGTGCCTATGCTGGGCGCAGTTCCGAGGTGCTCGTCCCATTTATTTTGAGTGGGATTGGTGTACATCGCACTTCAGGTGGTATATGCAGGACGCATGTTGTTGGGTGTATCGGACCGTTGCATGGTTGGGGGAGTGCACTCCTGGCTGCTGTGTGTGGCTATGTTGGTGCTACGCGCTTCCCCGTTACGTGCGTGACGAGTCTGATTGATAAGTAGTGGATACATACGCATACATATAATATGGCTTATATGTGGGTGTCCTGGTGTCCGGGTACATGCGTATTTTTCTGCAGTGCGATGGGAAGGTCAGGGGAACAGAGAGTAGCGAGAGACGAGAAATGGGTTTTTNGCCCTGCCTGGTCTCCGCTCTTTTCCCCTCCCCCTTGGCGAGCAAAGGGGGTACGCAAAATAATAATGACAAATTTCGAAAGCATCGAGAAAAATGTTGTATTTTCACCAAATTCAAAAAACTGTCATAATAAGAAAAATAATATAAAAACTCCTTGGATATCGACGTAACTCGATAAGGCCGTCACGACCAACGTTGTGTCACGTTCCAATTTTTTTTTTTTACCCAAAACTGAATTGGACAAATTGTTGTGCACGGACCATATGTGTCCGGAATTTTTTCCGCATAAAGACCCTTTATCAGGCCAATAGACTGATCATCACGCATCTGTGCTGCTCCTACATGTATGCTGCTGCAGACACATAAGTCTCTAATGCATAAAGTGATTCACCAGAGAGAGAGAGAGAGAGAGGTCACAACAGTGTCATCACCGAGCCCTTGATGCCTTTCTCTACGCGTGGTGGCAGCAACAAGGACACAGCCGAAGTGTCTGCTCACACCAATCATGCCCAACGCCCCCGGCACGAGCACACCACCGAGTCGAAACCCGCAGGGGGGCCCGCGACTAAATATTGGGAGTACGTGTACGTGTGAGCGGCGAAATGAGGCGGCTATACCACACAGGAGCCGAGCAGAGCCGAGCACTCTGCACTAGACAGCAGTGGAGGGCACAGCACGGCAGGAAGGCTGGCCACCCACCACTGGGCGAGAAAGGAGCAACTCCCTCACGAAAATGGTTTCTTCTCGAACGCTCGCCGTCGTTTGTGGTGTGGATCTTTTGCACGGTGTATCAGCATGGCTGCCAAGCCCGCTCCGAGTGTCCACCAGCACTGCTACAGACCAGCGTTGGGCTGTTAGAGATATTGTAGCAGGGGAGCATCGTGATGTGCGGCAGCAATGGTCGGCGCTTCGCAGCGTCGCTGACGGGGAGGGGGACGGGGGGGCGGGCCGGCCTGATCTGGCATCGATGAAGCGTTCGTTTGAGGGTACCATGGACAACAAGCTCATCATGGAGTACGTAACGGTGAGAGTTTGAATCCAACGCTCCGGGCAACAACACATGTTTGCACAAACAACATGCACGTTGCACCACCTGTATCGTGTTCACAGCAGTGCAAGAACTGAAGCAGCTTTGCTCCAGTATCGTTCCTCGATCATGTCATGTTAACTGCCAATGCGGGTGACTCCTTTTTGTATTGAAAAGGAGGAGCAGCAGCGGCAACAGCAGGATGGTACCATGGCAATTCATGACAGTCAGTGTTGCTCATGTTGACAGAGGGTGTTCGCGAATCGCTCAAAGATTTTTGTTCTGTTCGAGACTGGCAGCCTCCCCGCTCCTAGATTATTGGTAGTTCTCTGCTGTGCATGAACTCGATACACCAAATACATCGTCGCCCTTTCCCCCTCACTCGGTATTTGGCTGCAGCTTGTCCAGCTCATGTCCGTAGTTGCCCCTGCTGCTGGCGCGCCACGAGCAGCCATGTGCCACACGGAGGGTCCAACAGGCGTATCTTTTGACGAAATGAAACTGCAGCATCAACAACGGCAGCCTTCTATCAATTACTGCTGTTCACACCCCATCCGCTCAATTTTTTTTACCCCTAAATCGGAAAAGACAACAGTTAAGTGACGCTGGCTTAGACATTGCAGCGCCACCCTTGTGTGACCTTGAGGGCCGACCTTCACGCTGCTTATGTCGGGCCAACGTCCAGGTCAAGAACTAGCTGGCGTCCGCGCATCGTTCCGTTGCCTGCTCCTCCCAACGTCGTCGACGATTTCCTTGCTCCGTTTGTGGTGTCGGGTAGATATGCTTGGCATGCTTGCACGGTGACAGAACTCAGCGTTCTTCCTCGCAAGCAAGGTGCTGCTTGAACGCCCAAGAACCGCTGATTGGGGGGTACTGCTGCCCCACTCCTTCTGTTTCCCGCTGGGCTGCGACGATCCGTCTTTCCCTGGCGTTCTTTGTCGAATGCAACCATGTTGGTTTTCTTTCTCTGCACAATGAGGTGCTCGTCTTTTCTACCTCTCGTTTAGGCATCTGACGCAACCACATGACCTTCGTGCATAGCTCTACCATGATCACTCCAAGCAGGGCGTTTGATTCAACACCAATATTAATAGCTGACCAGCTCGACTCTCACCTACGTTCCCCATGTATCTACCTGACGCGCTCCGCCTGGGCTAAGGGTATATGCTCTAAAGGTTAACGTTACCGCCACAACTGACCACCAGGACACCTTCTCTCTCCTCTCTTTCTGTGTCTCTCGTACGAAATCTCGTCACGACGTTTCCCAGGAACTTCGATCACGCAAAGCTCTTCTGCTGTCGTCCTTGGAAGAAACGGGAGGTGTCATCACCGACGACATTTACCCTATCATGGAGGAACTTGCCCTAGTCAACCCTTCCTCGGGGTGCGGGGTGGGCAAGGACCAGGGGAAGTCGCACTACTGCGCGATGCTTCCAGGTGCGCGTGTCTGTATTGTTGGCACCAACCGCGCGAATCGGCTGACTACTGATGATATACTGCGTCAGTCTTAGTGCCGCTGATAACAGAGAGCGCTTCTACGGGCCATGATCTGCAACCCCCATGAGGGAGCGTCAGGCTAGGCTATAATCCGGTGTAAGACGTAAACGGTAAGGCGGATGTGTATGTGTGTGTGTGTGTGTGTTTTATTTACCATCTGCCGCGCCAACCGGCTGACGAAGGAAAGACCGCCGGTCTAAAAAGCAGGGTACAACATGTGAACCCACTAGCCATCAATGGGCGTGCGGAGGTACTTTCTCGCCTCCTGCTGGCGAGGAACAAGTTGCGCGCGGTGGAGGCTACGAGATGGTGTAGAGACTAGAATTACATTTTTGGCTTGCCACTTGGTTCCAGCCTTGAGCAATGCGGTTTCTTCGCGGGTCGGAGCACATCCAATGTTGTGGACGTTAGATGCACTTTTCTTGTTGTTCCTCGGCAGCAGACGCACTGTTTCGGACAGGATTGCTCGACAGTTGTGCTTGGGTCACAACGAAAAATTTCAGGGAAGTAGTAAAACACAATACACTCCTTTTACCGGCCCTGTTAACGCCCCCCTCCCCTTGGAAACGCCCTATTCCCCCTTGGAAATCCCAACGACATCGGAATCATGATGATGCATGACCAGGGCACTGGATCGCCGCCTCCACCATCGTCCCAAACGTACCTTTCGTTTACGGAGACGGCGAGAAGTCCACCAACCGCTCACCATCATCCAGAGGTGCCGGCCCGACCTGCACCCTGGGGGAGCTTGTGTCATCCATCTCCGGAAGACCTGTCACCGGGGGCCAACTAGAGTACAACGCCGACACCCCGGTGCGGCCCCTCCGGGCGCGAATCAGCGCCTTGACCAACACCGTCAAGGACGGCGAGATGCCCACCGTAGTCGCGGTCGCCGGCTTTTCCCCGGCGGCGGAGGCACAGCCGGTCAAAGCCACCGGGTCTGCCGCGGGAGCTGCGGCCGGGGGCGGCGGCGAAGACCCGAAGGATGCCCAGGCGAAGGCTCTCGCGGCCGCGATGGTGGAGGCCGCGGCGAGGGAACCGCGGGCGGCGGCGGCTGCCGGAGGGGCCGGCGTCCGCACGGAAGGGTTCGGGAGAGTGGCCGACGTGGTCCTGACGGAGGACGGGGCGGTACGGGGAAGGGGGAAGTGGGGGGTGAGAGGGGGTTACCACCTCAGGTGGGAGTTCAACACCATGAACTTGGACCTGGGCGGGGACAAGATCGTGAAGGCGGGGGGGGAGGGCGGCGACGGCGGGAGAGACCTGTACGAGTTTTTCTTGGATCAGAACATGCTGATCGTGGCGTGGAAGGACTCGCCCAAGAAGGAAGACGCCGTGGTCTTCGTGCGGGACGAGGTTCCCCGGTGACGCGCCTTGGGGCGGGCCAATCCGCTGGCGACAGGCAGTGGTGTTCACAACTCTGTCTTGCTCGGAGAGTCTTGATAATTTTTTCCTGATACCGTTTGCATAGGGATTTTGTCCCAGCTATTTGTTGTGATATGATATGGCTTTGTTTCCGACGCTCCCTTGTCCGAATTTATCGTGTGGTGCTCGTGCCGACGATGCCAAGCGTGAAGGGCGATAGTTGGTTGCGGGATGCTTTGTTTGTTCTTTCGCCCGCAATCGCGTGGAAATGGCATGTTGACTTTGTTTTGGGGAGAGAGTTCTGAACCTTGAAGGCTTCCAAGCTTGGCTGACATCTGTGGCGTGTATGCAGATAGCCTTTTCGTGGGGTCAGAGGTTAGTATTCCTCTCCCCGCCGTGCTGGAGGTGACCCGAGTCAACTTGATCCTGTACACCAACATGTTGACGGTGGCCGCGGCGCTCAGTCCCACATATCGTTGCACTACATACGGTTGGTGTTGTTTGGGCTTCCGGTTTCATGTAACAGCATACCTGGAAGATGTGAAGTGTAGACACTGCCGCCGCTGATCCGTCTTTCTTGACCAAGTCTTGTTTTGCGTTATGATGTCCCCCGCTTTGTCCTCTACTTGTGGAGCACAGCCTTCAAGTCCCCCGTGTGCCCACCAATAAGGGCGTCTCGGTCATGATTTCTAGATACCGGTCGCCTCTGTTGTTCAGCTGGCGACCTCATAACCTTATGACCCTCTGCATTGCGGGTTCGAATCTCGCGGGAGTGAATAATTGGCGGTATTCTCCGGCAGTAGTCGAGATAAATGGAAGGTGCTAGCCGCGGGTATCACGATATGTGTGAAGGCAAGCATCGTAGGGGGCAGGCGCACAGGAAAGAAAGTACAGCAGTGCTGCTCCTGTGTGACTCCCGTTTGTGCGTCAAAACACATACATATTGAAAGGTGTACATATTGACACATCGACTGGGCCATACATATGGGTGCGAAAAACGAAACGGTACTCAGAAAGGCCCATAAAGGCCAGACAACGTCCCATTTCCAACAAAAAAAAAACGCGTGTTGCGCGAGAGTCCGGTTGCATGCGCATGGCAGTCCCGACGGACATATCTCTGGCTTAGGTACGTTAGCCTGACCGTGGTTTCCGTTTTTGAGGTGGACGCTGTGCCCTCACGTTCTCATACTGCTGTTGTGTGGGCCTCCTTCCCAAACCAAACCAAATGAAAAAAAAAAGGGGGAGGCTCCGTGGTTGAACGTTTGTCCGAAGGGGTACGTGTGCTCGTAGATGCTGAGGAGAGCCGCGCTAGCTGCTAGGCACTCAGAGGTGCTGAGGTGCTCTGGGCTCTGGGCTTGGGATCGCACACACGGCCGGAGCATCAAGCGGGCAAGGCGAAGCGAAGACAGGATGGCGGTGAGATAAACTTGCACAACGTCATGTTGTCCAGAGTGTTGCTTGTGTCGGTGCCATGCCCAGTGAGCTCGACGCACATAGACCCCGGTATCCTCTCCAAAGCTACCCGCCTCTGCACGTGTGCATGCCAAAAGGGTTGCTGCGCGCATCAACCGATATGCACACACACCAACCTACACCGCCACGCTGGAAGGCACCGCGCAAGAAGGAGCTAGAGAGTCGGCACTTCCTCTCGGCTCGGTTTACCTTCGAGATTCAAGCACCCAAGATGGAATTCCGATACATCCGTCAGCAAAGAGGACCTAAACCGTCAGTTGCACCTGCTGCTCTGCGCTGCACCCACGCCGCACACCGCAGCACACACCATCAGTACTACTACCACTACTCCCAAATCCATTACGAAAAACAGAAAGCTACTGTGGCCAACCACAGCACATCGGTTTCGTCCTGCGCGAGTTGTGATAGATTGGGACCCGCTCTATCAGGAATTTGCACAGTTTCAACAGTCGTTGTTGCGGCCGTTGGTCCTTCTCGGCGCTAGTAAAACGACACCGAACAGCAGCCAGCGTGTGAACGAATGTGCAACAGGGTCATTTGGACCTTGCGTATGATGGAGTGTCTCCTCCGCTTTCGATGACCATGGAAGCCCCGAACACTTGCCAAACCGCTACCTTGCTATAATAGGTTGCCTTGCGTCATTAGGGGCACCGACACTCACGGAGTCGCACACGTTCTACTGCTATACATATCGTACAAGCAGCAGTATGCAAAATTTTGTGTTAATGCATGCTTAGTTTTTTTTTTTTTCTCCCATCATTGGATTCTGTCGTCTGCCCCTCTGGCCCCTATCCTCCACTTCTCCCAGCTAGACGACCCAACCGGGGTCACATAGGAGGGGGGGGTTGGACCCCTTATTGCGGTTCCTGCCTGAGATATTTGTATCGCGAGAACGGTACAGCAATCCCTTCCCTCGCGACTTATGAAGTCGATCAAGTTTGCCAACAACGAGCTTTGCAGCGCGTCGCTTCCAACGGAGACCAGGATATAGTAAGCGAGAAAAAAACTCACTCTGTCGGGACTCGAACCCATGACCTGGCCATTAGCAGGCTACGAGGCTACCCACGAGACCACCGGGGCGGTTGTCTGGTGGTGTCTCAAAACCAAAAGCACAGACCTGACGGTGAACGCGGTCACCAAAGCTAGCGCCTCCGTCTACGCACTTCTGGCTCTGGTTCCGAAACCTTCCCAGCCACTGCGACTGGTTGTTCAGCAGTAGCCGGGGCTCACCTGCCTCACAGCATGCTCTTCGGACGAGCCAGTGTACCGCTCCACAACCTGCTCAGACGGCGAGAGATTTAACGTTGGCAGTAGTGAACACGCACGGCATGATCGCCCGTGTATTTCATGTTCTATTACCAACGTTGCCACGTGTGCCATTTTGTTGGCCTGGGCCCAACACTTTTGTAGATATTGCTGCCGTCAGCGCTTTTAACGCTTTCCGTCCCCGATTATTGCTATGCTCGCTGCTCTGCCATCGGCCCGACGGCGCCAAACTAAGCATAGGGTGCCGAAGTCGCAGCCCAAACAATTAGATTGTACACACAAACAGCACGCCGATTCTTTGTTTTGATATCCCCCTGGCTTCGCTTTTTTCCAAGCACGAGATGAAACCGGGCAGCACTTATTGTAACGTTGTAACCCCACATCGACTACACAGATTTCAAGTGTAGGATTCATACTCGAGGGCCTGATGTATTTTTCTGGCCGCTGCTCCTTTTCCCGGCTCTGCCCGCTTCCCACGAACACATGGCGGCAGCAACAGGCGTTCGAGGACATGAGGGTCGTGGACCTGAAGGTGGAGCTCAAGGCGCGAGGCCTGCCCGTGAGCGGGCTCAAGGCCGTGCTCATACAGCGCCTCCACGACCACGACAACTCCTTGGTCGAAAAGCGCCCCCAGGCGAAGGATGACGAAGAACCCACAGAGGGCGTCAAGAGCGGCGACGGCGCAGGCGCGGAGCTCTCGCCGGAAACGGTAACCAAAACGCTGCCGACCGACGCTGACGTCGGAAAGCAGGTTGAGTCTTCAACGCCCACCAAGAATACTGTTGGAGCGGCGGCAACAGCGATACCGGCGACCGCGGAAATTTCCGAGGAAATTTCTCCGAAGAAGCAAGAAATTTCTCCCAAGAAGGAAATCTCTCCGAAGAAGCCGGATGCTGCCATTGCTCGTCAGGTTTCGGACGCTCCCGCCACCGAGCTCAGGCCTACCGACAGCAAGACCCATCGCGGGTCGATGGCGAATACCGCCCCTGCGCCCGCAGCCTCAGCGGAGACAACGCCGACGAAACCTGAGGTCACCGTAAAGAGTACGGCGGCAGCCCCCGTAACCGTAAAACCGGAGGCGGCGGCGCCGGCCGTGGAGGGAAGTGGGGGCAGCGGCGCGGAGGTGGTGGACAGTAACTCAGAGACACAGATCAGGCTTGCGAAGACCGCCGGGGTATTCGGAGTCGTAGTGAGCGCTGCTTGCATCGGGGCGGGGCACGGGCTGACGGCGGGCAACCTTGCGTCCCTCCATGTGAGTGTGTTCTCCGGCGGGAACACTGTTTAATGTCAGGCAGAAGTGTCTTGTACGTTGAACCTTTTTGGTCCAGCGGCCGTGAGAGGAAGATACACACCCGGCTGGGGAGGGATTGGACCGATATTGCCCGGTGCTCAGAAGTGTGTTTCCGTATGAATACGTTGTGGTAGCTGTTGAGGACCATTGTACCGTTTGTCGCGCAGGGGGCGTGTCGCTGACGTAGCGTATCCTTCCCGGCTGGGGAAGTGGTTGGGTAGATGCTGGCTGGCGCTCATCGGGCCTCCGCTTGAACAGACGTGTTCTCATTTCTCGTCGGCCGGCGTGTTTTCTCCTCGACCCCCGATACGGGAGCGCGGGCACGGAAGAGCGCCGAAGGGAGGGCCAAGACGCAAGATTCCTTTCCAATAGAGCACAGCGGAAAAAAAATGTGACAACCTCTTCAATACACGGGTGCCGAGGTTTTGCTGCTGTTGGTGTGTCTTGACGCTTTTGTCGAACTGCGCTTCAGCCGCCCATACGACAGCATGTTTTGTGTTCGTGGGGCTATAACTGCTGCAGTTGGGCGCTTCGTGCGTTGGCACACCCTTCTTGGTCTTCTTCGTCGCCAGCCTCGAAGGACGCTGAGAAAATCTCCAATTCTGGTGGGGGGGTGTTGATTTTGTCACCTCCCGACCGCCCCCGGTGTTTGCCATCGGGATTGGGTTTCGTCGCTTGGCAACGACGTTGTAAAACAAGCCAATTCACTTCGTGAACTCGGCAACCAGGTTACCGTTT